TGACTGTGTTCACGGGATTCAGGAACAGCAGCTGTGAGAAGAAACAGGTCTTGTTCAGAGACAAGAGGCATGCTCAGAAACAGATCTGGATAGGTATATTGTGAAACACACATTTACATAGATAGGCTAGAATAAATGCCCACCTAATTATATTGAAGCAAACACATTCCCACTAGTGTGCAGACATATAATACATCATGAACAAACAGCCCGTTGTTTAACATACCCCCCTCACACATACACACACACGCACGCACGACACTTTTAATCAAAAACGTTTATACAAAAGTATGACAACTTCCCTGATTTTGGAACCAAAATACTATTTTTTGAACAATTTGAGAGCTCACACTTATTTAATCAACCATTCTTTTAAACATTGGTCCCTTATGGGTAAATAAATTTGGAAAATTTTCTGTCCACACTGAGTATTTATCCAGTTATTTTTGTCTGGTTTGGGACTCTCTACTGCTTTAGACAGAAGCAGCATTTCCTGTTTTTTTCATAGTGCTGTCATTATGAAGGTTTACAAAGGTGCATTTTAGTGTATCCTCCATGTATTGTGCTGCTACGTACTGGGGATATTTGCAGGCTTGCTTGATGGTACTATTGAATCCCAAGGACACTGAGGAAACATAACAAGCCTCAAGAGATTAACTATAGCTCCAAGGGCTGTGTTGGGTGTGTGAGTGTGTGGTCGCAATTGATTCTAGCTGCATGTGCAGCTGTCTACAATGAGCAAAGCAACTATCCTTCTGACACTGCAATGTTTAAATGGACTACAAAAACAGTGTGAGGTTCTGTTGGTCAGTTTTTTTTTGCCTGTATTTGGGATTATGATGTTTGTCACAGTTGTGGTACACAGTGTCTCCTCTACAGCACTGGCCACAGCATTCTTTCCCAGATGACATGTACTGTACCACCCAGATTCAGTTCATTTTCAATCCAAAGATAACATGTTTTCTAGGGTGATGCCTATCTGCCTCAGTTCTTTCCTTGAGAAAAAAATAACAAATCTTGCTCTCTTGCATGGTTAAGTTGCAGCAGAGCTGAGCAACTTGGCTGAAAGAGCAATCTGTACCCAGCCTTATGCGCCCAACCTCTTAACGTAGCAAAGCTCAGGATAACTGCAAGGTCACGTAAGCCACCATCGACCCCATTTGCTGTCACATCATCCCATAGGGAATGTTGGCACGATCTTAACAGCAACCATGCTCCAACTCTAACTCTCATTTCGTTGTATTTGTATTGTTTTACTTGAGACAAAGAGCTAATGTTTTCAAATATACAAAAACAAATGAGGTTATAACATCAGTTATTTACCTGAATTCACCAATGGAAGTACTCAGTAACTGCCATGACAATAAGTTCATGTTAAATGCCCCCAGCTTCTTAGCTATGCCAGCATCAGCATGGAAACAACCAAGACAGGAGTAAGAAACCTAGCTAATCTGATTTTTGAGGAGGTGTCCAAATTCAATGAAATCTCAAAGGCACATACAATA